ATGAAAAGATGTTCAACATCATTAGCTATCAGGGAAATGCAAATCAAAACTATAATGAGGTATCACCTCACTCCATTCAGAATGGCTGTAATTAATAAGACAGGAAACAAGAAGTGTTGGAGAGGATGTGGAGAGAAGGGAACCCTGGTACACTGCTGGTGGGAGTGAAAACTGGTGCAGCCACTATGGAAAGCAATATGGAGTGTCCTCAGAAAATTAAGACTAGATCTGCCATACGATCCAGCTATTCCACTGCTGGGTATTTATCCAAAGAACTTGCAAACGCAAATACATAAAGATACATGCACCCCTGTGTTCATTGCAGCATTATTCACAATAGCTAAAACTTGGAACAGCTTAGGTGCCCATCAAGGGATGAATGGATAAAGAAGATGTGGCATATATACATAATCGAATACTAGGCAGCCATGAGAAATGATGCAATCTGGCCATTTGTGACAACATGGATGGACCTTGAGGGGATTAACATGCTAAGTGAAGTAAGTCAGAGGGAGAAAGTCAAACACCGTATCATCTCACTCATAAGTAGAAGATAAAAACAATGTCAAATAAACACACAGCAATGGAGATTGGATTGGTGTTTACCACAGGGGAAGGGGGGAGGGAAAGGGCAAAACGGATGATTACGTTCACATGTCTGGTGATGGATTATAATCACTTTTTGGGTGGTGTACATGATGTAATCTACACAGAATTTGAAATATATTATGATATACATCTGAAAGCTATATAATGTTATAATCCAATGTTACTGCAATAAATAAAAGAAACACACACACCTACACACAAAGAAAATCCTCAAGAGACACAGAGGCTGAGAGATTCAGGCAGTGACAGAGTCTTGTGGTTGGGATAATGTCTCTTAAATTGACTCTGGTCAACTTCCTTCATAGACAGATGAGGGCACAAGCCCAGGCATGCCCATGGTCACACACTTCCAATGCATCAAGTCCTGTTGATTCTGATCTTTTCATATCTTTAAAAGGAGGAGAGAGTGTAAGGAAAGAAAGAAGTGTCAACTGTGTCCAATACTGTTAATTCATAGCATGGGTCCCGATTTATAATTCAATATTTATTTGTGTGGTTATTTGTTTAGTGTCTCTCTCCACTGTGCCTTCATGAGGTCAAGGATCTTGATTCTTTTATATTCAGTCTTGGCCCCTGGCCTGAACACAGCAGGCATAGAGCCCAACCAACACACAGTGACAGTGGGGAGAGGTGCCCCCTCCTCCAATGCCAAAAGAGAATGTTCAAGGATCTGCTACTTTCCTCACCACTTCCCCACCAACAATGAGGCCTAGCCATCAAAATTTAGATAACACCTGGTTACCCTGAGTTGGCAAGATCAAGGTTAGCCCTATTGAGAAGAATGGGGGCTCAAGAGCTGAGTTACAGATACATAATCTTGATTTCATTTTTTGCACACTCCAGATTGTGACCTGTGAAACTTGTATCTAATGCCTAAATCATTCCAGAACAACACTGCCTCCCCAAACCAGGAGCAATTTGCTTGGCCAGTGGAAGTCAGGACTGGCTTCCCAGAAGAGGAGCCACTTGAGCTAAGAATATAAAAGGATGAGAATGTCAGACTGATGGTGCTCCTTGTATCAGTCAGTCCCTGTCAATCTGTCCATCTGCATTGATATTTAGCCTAATGCTTCTCTGAATGTTATTTGAGAGTGAGCTTTGACTGATTGCTAAGGACACTGAAAAAGCAGATAAGCCACTCTCTGTTGATGAGGACACTGTGTTCTCATACCTGTATAATTACTTTTATGTGTCTGTTCTGTAATTATCTATTAATTTGTCTCTATTTCCAACCTGAATAATGTCTGTGTCTCAGTCATATTTTCACCCTAACCATTTAGAACAGAGCTTTGAAAGTATATGAGGAGCCCATTCGTACACAAACAAGTACATGAGAGACATGAGGTGTATGGGGTATTCTTCTGATGCACAGTGTCTTCCTTCACACATTCAGCACAACTGTTAGTATGGAAGTCTCTTCATGTTAGGTGTTCCCTTCTGTGGAATGAAGGGACTCAAAGATCATGCCTTCTATTATCTCCCCTTTCAGAGAAAGGCCATTTGCATTGGGTAGCACATGGTGTTGGCTACATTTTAGTCCCGTGCATTGACTAGCCTATCACTCTTGAGATAGACCACAACCATATGGACAGACCCTAAGTTGACTGGAGCAGGTGGATGGTCATATTAGGCTTAATTACAAAATTGTTGTAGAGGATTATGTATATTGGAGGAAGATGAATGGACATTAGTTTCTACTGAGGTCTTGTTTCCAAGAAAAAGAAGAAAGGCTTTGGGTTTAGGGGACAGAATTAAGTTGTCCTTGTTATTGGATGACACTCTAGTCTTTACTTGTTTAGATGTATTCTGTGTACTTCTTTGGTTGGGAGCACTGAAGGGAGATCCTCCCCAACAATACCCTTAGTATCTTCCTGACTTGCATCTGTCTTTGTTCCTGCTGAGATGAGCTGGAGTTCTTTGTTCTGGACACGCATAGGGGAACTGCTGTGGGGGTCACCATGGAGATAGGAACTAGAATTTTAACCAGTTTTCTGTTCCAGCCTTGGGTTTCTTTAGTTCCTATAGTAGCCCTTACCAGGAAATGGCAAATGTTGAATATTGGCATTTCAGAGCAGCATCAGCCTTTTCAATCTCCCTTCCTATTAGCTTATTATAATATGTTGTTATGATCAATAGCTGTTGAGAAGCCACTTGTAGTCACTGAATCTCAGTCTCTTCATCTGTAAACTGTGGATAGTAGCATGACCCTATTTACCAGTGCCCAGGGAAGGCACCAAAAGGGGACAGAAACATATTGGAATTCCTGGGACTTTCTATTTTTCTTTTACTGGGGATCATCTTCCAGCTTCCCACATCTGTCCTTTGTTAGTATTCCAGCTTGCAGCCACTTCTCTGCTTAATTCCCTCTTGGTAGGACTCCATTATCCCAGAGATTCAAGAGGTAATCCACATTCTGAGCACAGTTATGTCTCTCTATCTCTCCACTGGGATGCTGCTCCCAAGGAAGGGACTGTATGGCTTCTAGCCCATAGCCTGCAAGATACCTACACATAACATTCACCCTTTTGGCCTTGAATCATTGCATGGATGAATAGATGTATTCACGAATTACACCTTCCAGTGGCAGCTATGGATTTTAATAGGTGCCTACCCAAAGATGACAAACTGTGGTGGTAAAAATTTCAGGCTAATTGACAAGCTCCTAAGGAAATTAATGGAGGTAGGTGAGATAGTTGGGACTTACTGCATTTTACCAATGAGACGTCCACTTGCTCAGGCCACTGTCACCTAGCCCTGGGGACTTTCAGGTCAGAGGGTTGGAAAGAGTTAGTGAGCAGTATCACTTTCTACAGAAGGGCTGAAAGTGAGAAAGGATAAAGAAAGAAGGAATTGCACCGACACAGCTTAAATGTCTTCTGTTTTTGTTGAGTTTAAGGAACACTCAAGGTTTTGTTTTTCACATAATCCATGGTTTCAGGCCAAGCAGACACAGAAGACGGGTCAAAGCGATGACCATGCGCTGGTATAGTTTCCAGATGGCCAGTCCTCAGACCTCTCCCATCAAGACTGTGGTGGGGGATTCATCGGGGACAATGACTGTTATTATAAGCCTCTTTTTTACCAGCTCCTCAGAACTGATTGGAAAACCCCACACTCATCAAAAAGCAGGAAGACATCTGCTCTTATCCCTTTGCCCAGAGAAAAATCTCATATCATATTTTTGGAATCTCGGTGCTGTTTGTGTATCCACCATATCACTGTTGGCTAAAGTGTTTGGAGTCCACTTGCCATCCAGGCAGCTGTTCTACTCTTTGCTCCATTCAAAACCGTTCTTCTTGCACATTGATTTTTACAGAGATAGGGGGCCATTCTTTGGTCAAGAATCTGTCTAACTAGCTGTCTACTGCAGAACATTCTGAGGGTCTGGAAAGAAAGCTGCATGGATGATACCATTTGGTGCTGCCATTGCCATCTCATCCATATCTGGCTTCTCGTCCTGGGGCCCTCTTGTCAACAGAATCCTGATGGATCAGACTGAACATGCAGCTATAGTGGCCAAGGTGTAGTTAGCCCCTCTTGTATTAATAATCAAAGAAGATGGTGTGGTCACCAGTGAGCCACAGGGAAAGGACATGCAAGGGGCCCTGCAATCTCACATCTACCAACTCAACTCCAGCAACTTTTCAGGATGCCCTCAGCTTGGGACTAAGGACATAACAGTGACTAATACCCTGGCTGTGCCCTTGAGAGCTCTTAATCTGGTAACAGAACTAGGTGTGGAATCCAACAATGGTTCTGGAGGGTGGAGAGGACAACAGTAGAATTGTAGGAGGGGAGATAGAAGTTTCCCAGAGGAGGAAGTGGTTACATCTGTTCTAGGAGGTTGGTGAAGAAAGACACTAAGGGAGGGGTTTCTGTCTTATCAGGGATTTGAAGGATGAGTAGGAGCCTTCTAGGGGCACAAGGGAATTTCTAAGTATGGGAAACTACACGGATAAAGATCTGTAGGCCCAGGTTGTTTGAAGGATTTCGAGTGTTTTGGAATGTGGGAAGCCATGGAGTCAAGGGCAGGTTAGAGATCAATAGCCACTGGATTTACTTGAATATCTGTAATATTTGGGCTTACTGATAACACTGATTGAGTTGTTTATTGATTTCCCACAGAATATGAACTCAAATAACATTAAACAGAGAGTACCCATGATGATTTGTCAAGTATCAGGTGGGGATGGCACCTGCAGGTGGAGCGCAGGTGGCCCTTCTACTGGCTGCAGCTCCAGCCCCACCCCTTTTCCCAGCAAATAAGACTTCCAGTCTCACTGAATCTCCTCTGGGCTGGAAGGGAAACTCTGTACCCACAGGCCTGCAAACAGCGGCACCGACTGCTGAAAGGAGAATTCAGAGGAGAGAATCTCAGAAGGAAAGTGGCCATGGACCTAATCCCAAGCTTTTCCATGGAAACCTGGGTTCTCCTGGCTACCAGCCTGGTGCTCCTTTATCTGTGAGTAACTGTCCAGCTTGTGTCCTCTGTAACCATGCAATTGGGGACCCAGTCAGGTCCCCCTTTCCATTATCCATTTTAAAGATTAAAAGAGTTAGTGAAGGGGAAGTTTCTAATTTTCAGGTGCTATGAACACATAGGGAGTTCTTATTGATCTACCCAGATCTGTTGAAGGGGTAAACAACCCCCCTACTAATTTCTGTAGCTAGGAGGGTTTAGTGACATTATTTGCTACTGGGAATAATCTTCTGATTGACTACCAGTTTGGACCTAGACTAGTCAACCTTAATTCAGCAGAGACAGATTAAAAACAACAGACCCCTGGACATTGAGGTCCTCACCCACTTCCCAAGCTCTGGGGATCCTGGAGGTAGGAGGAAGTGGCTTGGGTCTTTTTCTCATTATCTTTGCCTTCTGGGTCCTGTGTCTCCCACAAGAGACATATAGAAGGACTGGCCCCTGTGCCACCTCTGTAATTCCTGCTCCTCTCCCTCCCACTGCCAGCATCATTTACACAAGGCTCCTGGCACACTCAGAGTTTTCAGGTGGGCTGGAGATTGCTCTACCCTTCTCCTCAGACTCAGCACTTCTATTTTTGTGCCTCTCCCCTGGGAATCCCCTCCTGAGATTCAATTCCCCCATCCTGTAATATGCAGAACTATTTATCACTAAATGAGAAAGCTTTAGATCAGAGGAGACCTAGTAGAAATTTTGAAATTGTATTCTTTTCTTTCATCTTTTCCTTCCAGTCTCTGGGATGGTTAGCATCAGTATTGAGATTTCTTTTCCCCCTGATATGAAATCTGCTAGCAGCCTGTAAAGGCAAGAGCCCCAAAAGCCAATTAAGATTTTAAATATTTTTCCCTTTAAGTTACAGTACAGGAGGATGAATCAAAACCATCCAGCAGAGGAATCCCATTCAATGGTGAGATTCCTGGCATCATCGAGCAGGTTGGGAATGTAGTCATTTTTGAGGTATGAGTAGAGAAGGCCCCTCCATGTCACATTGGATCTCTCTCTCAATTTCAGTTTCTGGGAGTAGGAAATCATGAACACAGATGTGAACAAAGGAAATATAAACCTGGTTTTAATTCATTCAAAACAATGTTAGGAATTCCAGGTATTGTGGCAACATATTTTCTGACTGATGACATTTTAATGTTAATTGATGTGGTTTAATTTCATTCTATTTAATACTAGATTTTTTGCTGAGATAAGACTATTTCCAGTGTGTACTTTCTGAAAGATAAGAGAGAGCTATTGATTTAGGATTTGTGACTACAAAGGTGAATAAGTAACCTCACCTTTGTAGAGTAATGTCGGGAATATTTATCTAGTATACAAATACATACTTCTATGATATAGATTGTATGTATGTTTTAAATATCCCTGCCCAGCAGGTTCTTTTAGTCTCTCAGTGCAGGTGAGGAAGTGAGACTGTGATCCAGTGATGATATGAAAGGCATCCAGATAAGAGTTAGGATGAAGTGGAAGAATATTCCTCATCCCTCAGAGCAGATATACTCCTCAGTCCTGGTCCAACAGGAGGTCCCTCATAGGGCATCAGGGTTAGCATCTCATGTGCTTGAAGCCTGGAGACAGGGATGCCATCTAAGTCACTCTGTGTGTTGTCTATCTTGCAGTGGGACTGTCACTAGATAGTGTCACCACTGGGCAAACAACACCGTAGCCTTAGAGACACTGACGCAGCCAAGAATCAGATGCTGTAGAGTAGACAATGCCCTCCTTATGCCAACACAACGTAAATGTGATAAAAATGATTGGCTTTAGTCTTACCCCCTTCATTTGTACCAAAAGCAGGATTACTCTACCAAAAAGAGGGAAGCTGGAAAGAAACTGAAGAATTCACCCAGCCCACCCTCTCCCTTGATATGGAACCATGTGAGGTTAGACACTAGACCAGATCTTTCCTTGGACCAGTGTTGCTAACATTCACTCAGTTGCTCAGCCTCACTTGGGAGTTCATGTAACACATTTAAAGTTCAGCAGGAGAAATTGGTGTAATTGGTTTGCCATGGTTGTGATGGTAAAGGAAGAAACTGGGGTGGTGCTAACCAAACCACTCCTTTCTTTGGCAGTCAGTACACACTCTTCCACCAGCTGTTCTGGGTGAAGGATCCGAATGCCCAGCTGGGCTTGGTCGAGGTGCCTCTGCTGGGTTTTTCAAACACACGTCCTTTCATGCAATTTTTTTGGATTTATTTTATCACACATTATAACATTTGCTCTATTTGTACAGAGTATTTGAAACCTGAACTGCCTTAAAGGCTAACTTCCAAATAAGAAGAGACAGGGTCTTAATTCAACTCCCTGGGACATTTTATGGTTACTCATTATGTTTCATAGTGGATCTTTTGCTATCAACAGGAAGGTATCTGAAATTTGGAAGCCTGCATATATTTTAGCTGAAAGCACTGTAGGGCATGTTGAACTACTTATACATAACATACTTTTAAGGCATAATTTCGTAATTTGCCTTTACAGAGTTAGTCTTACAGGCCTAACAACTGCATGGTTAAAACCATTGTCAGCAGGCTCTTCCCTCAGCCACTCGTCTTCTTCCATTCTGCCATCTCTCAGTAACACTGGAGTGGGAAGACTTGCAAGGATCCACAACCCCCGTTGTGGGATCCACACACAACACACAAAAGATGAGTTGCAGGCAGGTGTCCCATAGGAAGCATCAGCCTTAATGGTTTTTGAGATTGTTGATGCACAGAAGCAGCAAAGTAACTGCTTTGTGACTGATCATCTTGAAAAAGAAGAGTGTTCCTGGTGCTGTGCTTAGCAGGTGAGTATCACAGATTAGAGGACCAGATCCAAGGAGGGTAAGAATGGTCTGCAAGTGGACCCTTTAGTCATTGGTCCCTTTATGCAGTATCATTCAGGGAGCACATGAGTCCATCTCCCTGCTCTTTAGCTCAAGTGAACCAAATTGCCTGACAGCAGAGACTTGGGTGTAGCTGAAAGACACTTGCATTTTTATGAGGCCAATGGACGCTCAAACACGGTTTCCATTCTGTGGGGATAAGAAATCTAGCTTCCCAAGGCCTCTCTATGAAGATAGATTTAAGAAGGAGCAGATCCTAAAATGGGGTCAGGGCATAGATAGAAGGAAAACCATAAAAGCCGCTGAGTAAAGTGTAAGAACAACATCACGGTAGGCTCTCAGTAACTCTCTTGTGTTGAGTGGACACAGTTACCCCAAATCTCGTTGGAGGAGAAAAAAAAAATTTCCCCTTTCTAAATAGAATGAGAATCTCAAAATCATGGAAGAGTCAACTTACTAAATAAACACATATGAATTCCCTGGAAGAATTCCAGCCTGGACCTCTCAAGAGCACTCAAATTTGGAAACCTTTATCAGGTATTCACTCTAGGATTGGAACCACGAAGTCTTCCGCTGCTTTTAGCCACTCATCGTTACTTTTTGTGGGTCTCACAGTGATGGTAGAAAAGGAGATGATGAGTGAATGTAACTACTGCTGTTGGAGTTCCTGTTCTTATTCCTCATCTACATGTTACCTCCTCAGTTGACTGTTCCAGTTCTGAGTCAGTGACAGGCCATCTGTTTCACAATCCCTGTAACCTGGCTTTCTCTTTCACTTTATAGATATGGGACCTATACACATGGACTTTTTAAGAAGCTGGGAATTCCTGGGCCGACACCTCTACCTTTTTTGGGAACTGTTCTGGGCTACCTTAAGGTAGAGTGTTGTTTGTGCTCCCTATTTCGCTTCTTCTGGTTGCAAACCCTGGATTAGTTTCATAGTAAAAACATCCCTCCTCAGGAGGAAGTTCTGAGGTTTCATGCTTTCCAGAAAAGGTGTCATAAGCCCCACCCAGAACACGGTTAGGTTTACCTCAGGGCTCTGTTTTCAGCTGTTATGAAACTCAGGTTTTTCCTCAGTTGGACAGCTCAGCTCTCTGGCTGCCTCAGCACATGACTTGATGTTCCAACTTGTGAGCATTGTTAAGAGGATTTTCTTTCTGAGAGGTTCAGGTTCCCAGGAAGGCACAGTTGTACTGAGTATTAGGAGAATAGTATGAACGGAGTGCCCAGTAGAAGCTCGTTAAGCTGTGCACACTAGAGCCAGACTTTCCTGTTTGTAGCATAAGCTCTGGGTAGCCTTTTTTTCTTTTAAATTCCCCTAGGTAGCTTTTAAACTTCTTTTTATTAGGCAGCCTCAGTATTCACCATCAGGTAATCTGCACATACTTGAATTCTCTCAAGAACTGCTAAGCCCCTGGCATTAATATCCACGGCTCTAAATCACCCTTTGTTACTCATGACATCTTTTGGAATTTGAGAGCTGGGACAAGAGCTTTTTGCTTTACTTCTCTTCCTTCAAAAGAGACTCCCTATGGGTGAGCCTGAGCAGGGAGTGGGTATAACTGAGAAAAGATGATGGTTGTCTACGGACTTCAGATAGATTTTTTTTTTTTAAAAGGCAGAATCACTTATACAAAATCACTAGGAAGTACACGGTTTGACAAAAGTATTAAAAATTTAACGTAACTGAACAGAATGTGGTAGGTCGCACATGGACTGTGAGTTTTGGTGGAACCTTTGTGGTTAATCCAGCTGTGATGCCTCTCCCAGGGCCTGGCCACTGGACAGAAGGTTGCAAGTTCAGGTCCAGAAGGCCAGCACGGAGAGCTTGTGTGCAGGATCCTCTCTGCCTCAGATTTCCTTTCCCATAGATCTGAGGCTTGTTTCTCCTCTCTCACTTCTCCCAATTGAGACCTCAGTGCCTAATTACTGCCTAAGAACTTTTGTTATTTTTTCCCTCTGAAAAAGCAATAATTTCCTTTCCATCTTTCCCACATCAGCTCCTGAGTAGATGCACCCCAAGATCCACATACCTGGGACCTTCTTTTGCATTGTCGAAACATCGTATCTGAAACTTAGTGAAGGGAAGATTTTTTTAAGTTACAGAATTGAAAACTCAGAGCAAGTGTTTTAATTTCCTCTGTCCTTTGTGGAGTGGTGGTTTCTCACCATCCTTTCCATGTTGAGCTGGAAAACTGGAAGGCAGCTCCACTTTGTCATTCATTCATTCACTCAGTTTTTCACTCAGCAAACATGCCTTAGACTTATTTAAATCTGCTAGACCAAAAGAGTTCACTGGTGTCTTAAACTTCCTAATTCTGCTAGAATTCTAGAGAGGGCTCATGAGATAAATGAAAAGGATGCTTAACTAGGAGATGAAAGAGTGTGCAGGCCACTGTCTTTCACTCAGCTTCAGTTTTCTCAAGTGTTGATGGAGGTAATAATTCAGAAGATTATTGGTTTCAGAGACACATACAGAAGTGAAAACTCTTTAGAAAGACAAGGACTTAATTGATATTCATGAAATAGGTAAGTCATTTAGCATCTATAACACTTGGAGAAAATTATAGAGCAACTTTACATTCTCCATTTCAAATAGCTCCTCTATTTTCTCTCCTTCCCCCAAGACATCTCTGAATAACAGATTCCCTTTAAATGCCAGTGAAAGATAGTAAACCCAGTTTCATGGGATTCAAATCATTTGTGTCCCAGTTAGAGGTATGTTTCAATACATTTAGATTAATAATCCTATTTTTTTCCTCCTTGCAGGGTTTCTGGGATTTTGACAAGAAATGTTTTAAAAAGTATGGAAGTATGTGGGGGTGAGTATTCCAGATACTCATGGGAGAGACTTGTTGTTATGATGATGCCCTCATTGCATGGGAGACAGTCTCATTCCAGAGCCTCTTTTAGAAATTTTTAAAATAAGAGAATGAAATTGTTCATAATCCTTCTAGCACTTTTTGAGTAGTCCAAATCTATTACCATTTATAGACAGAGTTTTGTATATTTGTTATCAGTATGTCTGCAATTTAATCTCATATCATGTCATATGCATTTATCATGTTTTTGATACATTGTCAAAATTCTAATGTTTTCCTGACTGAGTCAGTGGACTTTCCTTAACCTTTATTGTTTTGTTCTGAGACAATTTACTTGACTTCAATTATTTACTAACCTAACTTACTTTTTATAATGAAATATTTTAAACATAGAAAAAATTATGGAGAATGGCACAGGAAATACCCATGTACATACCACTTAGACATAACAAATGTTCTAATGTTATTTTCAGCCATCATCTCTAGGAGTATGGATTATGTAACGCTGGGATGGAAGTCTGGACTTCTAAGCATGGCTCAAGCTCTAGAATCTTGCTTGTTAAATTTAATCAACTCTGTTTTCCCAACAGGATTTATGATGGCCCACAGCCTGTGTTGGCCATTACAGATCCAGATATGATCAAAACAGTACTAGTGAAAGAATGTTATTCTGTCTTCACAAACCGGCGGGTAGGCATCCATTTAAAAAAATTATTTAATTGAGGTCATATTGGCTTGTAACATTGTGTAAATTTCAGGTGTATGTTACTATAAGTTTCTGTATAGACTGCATCGTGTTCACCACCAATAGTCTAGTTTTTATCTGTCATCCTACAAATGTGCCCCTTTATCTCTTTCACCCTCTCTCCAAGCCCTTCTCTGGTAACCACTAATCTAATCTGTTCTTCTTATCTGTATGTTTATCTTCCACATATGAGTGAAATCATATGATATTTGTCTTTTTCTGTGTGATTTATTTCACTTAGCATCATACCCTCAATGTCCATCCATGTTGTTGTAAATGGCATGATTTTGTCTTTTTTGTGGCTGAGTGGTATATCATATATACACACCACATCTTCTTTATCTATTCATCCATTGATCGGCACTTGGGTTGCTTCCATGTCTTGGCTACTGTGAATAATGCTGCAGTAAACACAGAGGTGCAGAAATTTCTTTGAATTGTTGATTTCATGTTCTTTGTATAAATACCCAGTAGTGGGACAGCAGGATCATATGGTATTTCTATTTTTTTTTTGAGAAATCTCCATACTGTTTTCCATAGTGTCCTTATCTGTCTGACTTAATTTTCTTAGCATGTTGTCCTCCAGGTTAATCCATGTTGTCACAAATGGAAGTATTTCTTCCTTTTTTTAAGGCTGAATAATATCCAATTCTATATATACATATATAGACACCACGTTTTCTTTATCCATTCCTCTGTCCATTACATTGAAAGTAATTATTGAAAGGACTTACTATTGCCATTTTGTCTGAGTGTTTCATAGATCCTTTGCTCCTTCTTCATCTCTTCTTCCTGTCTTCTTTTGTGATTTGATGATTTTCTATAGTGATATGCTTTGATTCCTCTCTCTTTATCTTTTCTGTATTTACTATAGGTTTTTGCTTTGTGCTTACCATGAGGCCTCCATAAAACACCTCATAGCTATAACACTCTATTGTAAGCTGATAGAAATTTAACTTTATTCTCACTCAAAAACTCAATGCTTTTACTCTCCCCACAATTTTACATCTTTGATGTCACAGTTTACATCTTTTTATATTGTGTATCTAGCAATAAATTACTTTAGCTATAGTTATCTTTAATTCTTTTGTCTTTTAACTTTTACGCTAGAGTTGTAAGGGATTTGCACACCACCATTACAATATTGCTGTATTCTTAATTTGACTATATATTTACATTTACCAGTGAGCTTTGTATTTTCATATGATTTTGTGTTACTAGTTAGTGCCCTTTCTTTTTAGCTTGAAGAACTTCCTTTAGCATTTCTTGTAAGGTAGTTCTACTGGTTATGAACTCTATCTGGTTTTCTTTGCCTGGAAACGACTTTATCTCTCCCTCATTTCTGAAGGATTGCATTTCCAGTTAAAGTATTCTTGGTTGGTAGATTTTTCCTTTCAGTATTCTAAATACATCATTTCCCTCTCTTTTGGTCTTCAAGGTTTCTGCTGAGAAATCCACTGATAGCCGTATGTGGGCTCCCTTGTAGCTCTCTGTTGTATTTCTTAGTCTTCAGGTTTAAAATTTCTCTTTGGTTCTTTTTTACATTTTGTATCTCTTTGTTGAATTTACTTTTCTTTTTGCATTTTTTTTTCTGATTTTGTTAAATTGTGTGTGTTCTCTTGTAGCTCTCTGAGCTTCTGTAGAAAATTTATTTCAAAATATTTGTCAGGCATTTTGTGGATCTCCATTTCTTTGGGGTCCATTACTGGAAGATTGTTGCGTTCTTTGATGGTGTATGTTTCTCTGATTCTTTGTCATCCCCGTAGACTTGCAATGGTGTCTGTGCCTTTCAGTCACCTCTTCCAGACTTTGTGAACTAACTTTAGTAGGAAAGATCTTTTATTGTGGATTAGGGCATGCTGGAGTGTTCTGTGGCCCTCAGTCTAGTGGTGCTAGGTTTCAACTCTGGGAGTGTGGGTGGCTCCATAATTAAGGGGCACAACTGGCTCAGGCAGCTGGGGTTCACAACATCACCAACTGCATGATCCTTGGCAGTAAGAGCTGTGGAGGGTCTACAGTGGCTGCAAGGGCTGTTGAGGTCTTCAGCATCACCTCCAGGTCAAGTGGTGAGAAACCAAGGGAGGTAGTAGTGGTGACCAGAGTGGGTGGTATGAGTGTGCTCATCTGTGGGGGCTGACTTCAGGCACATGCATTGCAGTGGGGGTTGGTGACTGGAGTTGAGATTGGCAGTGTGCAAGTGTGCAGCTGCAGGGGTTAGCTGCGCATACATGTGGCAGTCCAGTCCACTGACAGGAGTCAGGGCTGGCTCCAGGCACCAGAGAAGCTGAAGTGGGTTGGGCTGTTGGTATGTATATGCCCAGGCAGAGTCCAGCTCTTGCTGCCTATGTGAATCCTGGGTATCATAGAGTTTGGCTAGGGCGTAGTGGGGCAGATCCTGGCTCAGGCAGCTGGAGTCTATGAAGGTAAAACCTGTGGGGTATCAGCAGGAAAATCTATATGGCATCCACAGAGTCTATGCTGACTGTTGGTTTTCTCAGCCACAAAGCCTTCTTGGTCTTCTGCAGAGCAGGCCATAAAGAACCATGGTCACTCACACCACATGGCTGATACTGGTAGTCCCTGCCCTTCTTCTTTGTTCCTAGCTGTCTCAAGATGTGTGAGCTATGCCAGTCCCTTCTTGGGGTGATACCAAAGTGGGTCATTTGTACAGTTTCCTGAAAGGCTGGGCACTGGTTGCTCAACTTGCTGTCCTATTCCAAGCAAGTATAAGTCTCTAAGGCTGGAGAGTTTCCTCTTGACACTGAGCAGTGCTGTCCTGGGAGAGGGGATGATGATGCAGGGAAAATGAAACTCTTCTCCCTACACATTTTGTGTAGTTATTCTTGTTTTTCTGCTCCACTGTGTTGGTGAAGCTTGTTACCTGTTTTCATGCATCAATAGCTGTTTAATTGTTGTTCCTTGTGGGGCAACAGAGACTGGAGTCTTCTATTTAGCTATCTTGGTGACGTCACTCCAGTCTTTCATCACAACTGTAACGTTAGCTGTAGGTTTTCTTGTAGATGCTTTTTATGAAGTTGAGGAACTTTCTTCCTATTCCTAGTTTTTGAATTTTTATCATGAATGACTGTTGGAGATATCCATTTTAAAACAGAATACAGTTTTGGAAGATGAAAGAAAATCTCAATTATGCTGGCTTGCTAGGCCAGTCCCAAGCTGAGAAATAGAATTATCTCTTTCTTTTCCTTTTCTATCCCTATAGAAAAAGTGTAATGGAATTCCATGTGATTGTACCATTTCTTCAGAATAGTAAATAAGTTACTAATTTTGTAAATATTTACTATATTTTTTTAGAAAATCACCATGTCAAACCATCCCTTTTTTGAGCTTCTCATGCTCTGTCTTTCATCTAAAGACAGAACTAGTCTGAGGCAAAATACAGTTTTCCAGGGCTATCTGGCTATCTGTCATCAATCCATTTTTACCCTGTGCAGCTCTGGTGGATGTACTAGGTCTTATTCCTTTCTCTTTCCCTGGAAGAACAGTTTTCCCACCACATGGATCATTTGCATTTAAAAGGATATTGGAATATAAAGGCTGGAAATCACATCTGGCGGCTGGATGTCTTCACTACCCTCACAGAAACCTAGGGATTTGGGCTAAATATTTATTGAGCATCTAGCATAGGGTCAGATACAAAGTAGACAGTCACCAAATATTTGTCGAAAAATTGATGCCCATGTAATAAATTTTCCACAACTGTTGAGAGCTCTGAAACTTACGTAGGGCAAAATGTCTTTTGCTTTTGAGTCTAGTCTCTTGGTCCAGTGGGATTTATGAAGAATGCCATCTCTCTGTCTGAGGATGAGCAATGGAAGAGAATAAGAACATTGCTGTCTCCAACCTTCACCAGTGGAAAGCTCAAGGAGGTGAGAAATTAAGAGAATTTTTAATTAGAAACAAGAATGCATCTGAGATCAGGTAGAAAATAAGATCATAGTCCCTTTCCAAGGGGTATTTTTCTGAAATTGAGCTTTCTAAAAATGGTGTTTTACCTTTATGTCTTAGAAGAAACATTATAAGATTCATTATAGAATGTCGCTTACTGCTCCATGTCTGTAAAAGCCATGTTCTTCTAGGATTTGAGTCTCTGCATTTAACTCTGGGTGGTGTTGTATATTGTGTCTAGATGTTCCCCATCATTGGCCAGTATGGAGATGTGTTGGTGAGGAACCTGAGGAAGGAAACAGAGAAAGGAAAACCTGTCACCTTGAAAAAGCAAGTAGAAGTGTGTGTTTCTGGGTTTATGAGCTCTGTCATCAGATCCTCCAGATCCTCCAGATAGGTAACTCAGAGCCAAAATTCCTGCTGTGTAGTGGTCTAGTGACCAAACAGAAGTAGGTATGTGGTGCTACAATGCCAATGGGTCATCCAAGAAAAGGTGGCTCACCCAAGAAGGCAGGGCACTCTGGAGAGAAAGAGTCTTCTTACCTGTGTATATGAGCCAGGATTAATTTATGTGTTTAATTGTCACCTTGGTTATTCTAGAAGACAAAAATACAAGGTATAGAAAGAAGAAATATGATTGTACCAAAGTTTGAGTGTGGAGGGTATGGAATGATGAGAAGGGAAGGCATTTGGTACATACTGGTGGGCAGTGGGTGGAGCAGCAAAGTTACACTTTGGAACTTGGAAAACTTAAACCCATTCATGATTTTGCTGAGGATGCCAGCAAAATACTAAATATTAAATCTTACCATCACTTCTCCTTCCTTCAATCTCAAAGAGAGAAGGCCCTGTACAGGCTGTGGGTAGGGTGACCATATCATCTACTGTCTAAACTGCAGTATTTTTAATTATGCAAGAACAACAGGTGTAAACTGGGACTGTCCTGGGAAAACTGAGAATACGTAATCACTTAGCTATGGGATCCCCTAAATTGACTTTGGAGTGGTTTATTATGATTATTTTTTTAACCAGGAACATTTTTAGTTCTTACATTTACAGAAATGAGTCTGCCCTCAGGGCAACATGATTTCGCTGATGGAGGAAGAGTGGGTCTTTCATAAGCAGGGATGCAGAGGAGGAGGGATGACAGTCCTGGCAACTCAGAATAGGGTGCTGTTGTTCTGTAATATTCAGAAGTGGAATCATCTCTGAGCATAGATACTGTGGTGAGGAAAGACCCAGATCAATGTCACCTTTCTTGACTCCTCTAGGAAGAGTTAATTATTCTACCCTCTGTCCTGCTCAAACCCAGTGGTTATATACCTACTATTGCTCATACTCAAGACATAGTACTGTAATTTGCCTGATTATCAGTCTCTTTCAATCTGTGACTGTATTCCTTTTGCTCAGAGGTGGGCCTATCTTGCATTAGTGTCTCCATCACCCGTAGCACAGGGCCAGCTTCATCACTCATACTTGATAAATGTCTCATGAGTGAGTGTGATAGTAGTATTGACTCTTCAAATGATCCAACAGAAGGTTTTGAAGGTGTGTGTCTCTTTACCTGTCTTTTCCGGGCATATGAATTTACATGCACTTCTTGCTGTGTGTGTTGTATGACAGTAACAAGGTGCTGATTTCAACTTTCCATGTCTTTCTTTCTCTCCTCAGCATCTTTGGGGCCTACAGCATGGATGTGATTACTAGCACATCATTTGGAGTGAATATCGATTCCCTCAACAACCCACAAGATCCCTTTGTGGAAAATACCAAGAAGCTCTTAAGATTTAATTTCCTCAATCCATTCTTTCTCTCAATAAGTATGTGGACTACTATTTTTCCTTTTCTCCCTCCCTCTCTCCCTCCTGCCCTTCATTCTTCCTTCCTTCTCTCTCTCTCTTTCTTCTTTCCTTCCTTCCTTCCCTCCCTCCTTTCTTTCTTTCTCTAACAGCTTTATTGAGATATAATTCACATGCCATATATTTAACCCAATCAAAATGTGCAATTCAATTGTTTTTACAACCTAAGTATCCATCCACATATGAATTGATAAAGAAATGTGGTGTGTATATATATATATATATACAGTGGAATATTATTCAGCCATAAAAGGAAGGGAATTCTGCCATTTTGACAACATGGTGGGAGCTTGAGTGCATTATGCTAAGTGAAATAAGTCAGCCAGAGAAAGACAAATACTGTATGCTCTCACTTTCATGTGTAATTCAAAATCAACAACATACTCATGAAGAAAAGAGATTATATTTGTGGTTACTAGAGGTGGGGGTTAAGGGTGCACTATTGTCCCCATCAGACCCTGCCAATGGAGGAATTGGAGGAAGGTGGTCAAAAGGTACATACTTTCAGTTATAAGATAAATAAGTACTGGGGATGTAATTTACATGATGACTACAGCTATCTCTGCTGTATGGTATATTTGTAACTTGCTAAGAGAGTTGATCCTCTGTATATTTTCTTTGGAGAAATCTCTGTTCAGATATTTTGCCCATTTTTTAATTGCATTGTTGGTTTTTTTGTTGTTGAGATGTATGAGTTCTTTGTATATTTTTGATATTAACTCCTTATCTGATATATGGTTTGCAAATATCTTCTCCCAATTGTTAGGTTGTCTTTTCATTTTGTTGATGGTTTCCCTTGCTGTGCAGAAGTGGTGATGGATTGTAATTAGTCTTTGGGTGGTGAACATGATGTAATCTACACAGAATTCGAAATATATTATGATGTATACCTGAAAGTTGCATAATGTTATAATCCAATGTTACTGCAATCAAAAAAGAAAAAGAAAAAAGAAAAAAAGGGAGTCAATCTTAAAAGTTCTTGTCACAAGGGAAAATTTTTGTTTTTTTAACTGTATGAAGTGATGGATGTTAACGAAACTTGTGGTCATCTTTTCACAATTTATATATGTCAAGTCATTATGCTGCACACTTTAGACTTATACAGTATTTTATGTTAACTATAATTCAATTAAACCGAAAAAAGATTTTTATTACATTCAAAGATATGTGCAACCATCACTATAATCAACTGTTAGAACACTCTTGTCATCTCAGCAACCCTGTACATTTTAACTACCACCTCTCACTCCCCTTAGTCCTAAGCAACTACTAATTTACTTTCTGTCTCTATAGATTTACCTAGCTTGGACACTTCATGTAGATGGAATCATACAATATATGGTCTTTGTGGCTCACTTTCTTTAGCATAGTTTTTTCAAGTATCATCTGTATCAGTACTTATTTCTTTTCATGGTCGAATAATATTCCATAGTATGGACATACCATGTTTTGTTTATCCATTCATCAGCTGATGGACATTTGGGTTGTTTCCACCTATTGGCTATTGTGAATAGTGTTGCTATAAGCATTCATGTACAAATTTTTGTTTGAATATCTGTTTTTGATTCTTTGGGTATATACTCAGGGGTGCAATTGCCAATTCTATAGTTATTCTGTGTTGAACCTCTTAAGACACTGCCAAACTGTTTTCCACAATAGCTACACTATTTTACATTCCCACCAGTAATGCATCAAGGTTTTAATTTCTTCACATCCTCCCCAACACTTGGTCAACACTTTTCTATCATTTTGATTATGGCCATCCTAGTGGGTGTGAAATGATATCTCATTGTGGTTTTGATTTGCATTTCCCTAATGTTTAGTGATGTTGAGTAACTTTTTATATGTTTGTTCACCATTTTTATATCATCTTTAGATAGACGTCTACTTAAAGAGTTCTCTTATTTGTAGTTGGGTTGTCTTTTGTTGTTGAGTTGTAAGAGTGCTGTATATATTCTAGATAAAAGTCCCTGATCAGATATATGATTTAAAAAATATTTCTCCCATTTTGTAGTTATCTTTTCACTTTCTTGACAGTATCCTTTGAAGTGCAAAATTTTACATTTTGGTGATGTACAATTTATTTACTTTTTTCTTTTATTGCCTGTACTTTTGGTGTCGTATCTAAGAATCCATTGCAAAATCTGAGGCAAGGAAGACTTACCCCTTGGTTTTCTTCTAAGAGTTACATAGCTTTGGCTCTTATGTTTAGGTCTTTGATCTATTTTAAGTTTATTTTTGTATATTGTGTGAGGTAAGAGTTCAAATTCATTCTTTTGCATGTGGATATCCAGTTGTCCCAACACTATTTATTGCAAAGACTATTTTTCCCCATTGAATGGTCTTGGAACCTTTCTCAAAATCAATTGACCATAGACATGAGGGTTTATTTCTGGACTCTAAATTCCATTCCATTGATCTATATGTCTAATCTTATGCCACTACCACATTGCCTTGATATTATAGCTTTGTAGTAAGTTTTGAAATCGGAAAGTGTGAGTCCTATAACTGTATTCATTTTTTTTCAATATTGTTTTGACTATTCTGAGTCCCCTGCTTCCATATGAGTTTTAAATTCAGCTTTTGATTTCTACAAAGAAGCTGCTAGGATTCTGATAGGCCATTCATTAAAACTATAGATAGATTTGGGGAGTATTGCCACCTTGACAATATTAAGTTTTCTCTCCATGAACATGGGATGCTTTTCCATTTTTAAAGATCTTCTTTAAGTTATTTCAACAATGTTTTGTAATTTTAAGAGTATAAATTTTGCACTTCTTTTCTTAAATTTCTTCCTAAATATTCTGGGTTCTTTTTGATGTCAATGTAAATTGAGGTTTCTTAATATCACTTTCGGATGCTTTGTTGCTGTGTATAGAAATACAATTAAGATTTTGTATACTGAAATTGTATTCTGATGCTGCTGAACTAGTTTATTAGTTCTAATAGATTTTTGGTGGATTCTTTATGACTTTCTATATACAAGATCATGTTATGTGATAATGGAAATAGGTTTATTTTTTTTCCAAATTATTTTATTGAGGTCACATTGGCTTATAACATTAAGTAATTTTTCAGGTGTACGTTATTATGTTTCACTTTTTGTGTAGACTGCGTCACGTTCTTCTTTATGTCCTATAATGATACCTTTAATTTCTTTTTCTTACCTAATTCCCTTGGCTAGACCTCATAGTACAGTGCTGAATAGAAGTGATCAGACGGGCATCCTCATCTCGCTCTCAATCTTAGGGGACAGCATCCAGTCTTTCACTATTAAGTATGGTATTAGCTATGATTTTTTCATATATGATTGAGGAAATTCTATTGCTAGCTGGTTGAGTGTTTTTAACACAAAAGGGGGTTGGATTTTGTGAAATGCTTTTTCTGCGTCTAGTGAGATGATCATGCGGTTTTTGTTTTCTATTCTATTGATATGGTGTATTACACGACTTTGCATTCCTAGGATAAATTCCACTTGGCTATGGAGTATGCTTCTTTTTATATGTTACTGGATTCAGTTTGCCAGTACTTTTTCGAGAATTTGTGTATCTATGTTCATAAGATATATTGGTGTGTAATTTTCTTTTCTTATGATGTCTTTTTCTGTTTGTAGTATCAGGGTCATATTGGCCTTGTAGAGTGAGTTTGGAAGTATTCCCTACTCTTCTATTTTTTGGAAGAGTTTGTGAAAAATTGATGTTAATTATTTTTTAAATAATTGGTAGAATTCCCCATTGAAACCATCTAGACATGAGGTTTTCTTTGTGGGTATGTTCTTGTTTACAACCTCAAACTTTTTACTTGTTATAGGTATATTCTGATTGTCTGTTTCTTTTTTTTAACTGAGGTCAAATTGTACGTTATATTATATGGATTTCAGGTATACATCCTTAAACTTCGACTTCTGTATAGACTTCTTTGTGTTCACCACCAAAAGTCTAGTTGTTGCCTGTCACCATGTACATGTTCCCATTAGTGTTTTCACCCTCTCTCTGGCCTATTCCCCTCTGGTTGCCACTACAGATCATCTATTTCTTTTTGAGTCAGTTCCTATGGTTTGTGTCTTTCTAGGAAATTGTCCATTTCATCTAAGTTATCTAATTTTATTGCTATACAATTGTTCACAGTATTCCTTATAGTTCTTTTTATTTTTTTAATATCAGTAGTAATGTCTTTTTCATTTATGATGTTGGTGAATTGAATCTTCTTTCTTGTTTGCTTGGTCAATCTAGCTAAAGTTCTTTCCAAAGAATCAGCTTTTGGTTTAAGTGATTTTTGCTGCTGTTTTTTATTATCTATTTTATTAGTTTCTGCTCTTATCTTTACTATTTCCTTTCTTCTGCTTGCTTTAGGTTTCACATGCTCTTCTTTTTTCAGTGTGTTAAGGTGGAAAGTTAGCTTATTGATTTGAGACCCTTGTCCTTTTTAAATATAGAAATTTAAGCCATAAATTTCTCTCTGAGCTTTTGTCACATCCCATAAGTTTTCGTAGATGCTGTCTTCATTTTTATTTATCTCAAAGTAATTTCTAATTGCCTTTGGATGTCTTCTTTGAGTCATTGGTTATTTAGGAGTGTATTGTTTAATTTTCACATAGTTGTGAGTTTCCCAGTTAACGTTCTGTTATTGATTTCTAACTTCATTTCATTGTGGTTGGAAGATATCATGTATTATTTCTATCCTGACTTCCATTTCCTGAACTGCACGATTAATTAAAGTAGCAGACTATGGTTTGGTTTATCCAAAGAAATCCTAGTCCAATAGATAAAAGGCTAAGAGGTCAAGAATTGCAATTCTGTTCCTTTGGTCATTCCAAAGATGTGGATGGGGCCCCAGATGTCACTGAAGTAGTGATGATTTCTATGTGTGGAATTACCCTAGCTGAAACATTGGCTTCGAAGTCCAAACAAAGATGATAGAAGGAATGGCCCCTGGTTGAGAACCCTGATTTCTTTTACTGTTCTGATTGGTAGAGAAAATTAAAATTGCTCCATGTAAATTTCACATTTTCATTGTGCTTTCTTTTTTTCCCCTGCAGCACTCTTTCCATTTCTTAAAGCAGTTTTTGAAGTAATACACATATATATGTTTCCAAAACGTGTTACTGATTTTTTCACAAAATCTGTAAAAAGGATGAAAGAAAGTCGCCTCAAAGATAAACAAAAGATAAAATCTGGTTGTGGTTACATGAAGGTGTTCAATTTTCATAATTTATTGAGGTCTATACATATGATTTGTGCACTTCTGTGTCAATTTTTGAAGCTAACCCAGCTTTGCCTTCATGAGACCTGGAGACCAGCACAAGGATATCTCCAGGTCAGGGAGACAGGGATAAATACCCCAGGGTGTTACTTAAGATTGTTTAGAGTTATGGGTGTGTGGGGCATTTGAAGATGCTCATAGAAAAGCTGCTGCTGAACTCTGCAAAAGTCAGGGAATTAACTTATGTGGCCATTCATTAAATTAAGGCTGGTGAGAAAAATGAAGTGAAGGGACTTCCTCCTGAACAAGCAGACATGACAGGAGAGGGAGCAGGCAACTCTTTGGCCAGGAAGCTGTGTTCAAAAGCCAGAGAAGCTAAAGATCAGAGAGAGTGAAGACCAAAAAGCAGTTGGACAGGATGGCTGAATTGCTCTCAGGGGAACATCCTGCTCTCCAAGATTTGTAGCTGGATGATTTTGTTCACTGATGACTCAGGGAACATTAGTCAGACTTCTGGACTTAAAGGGGTCATATTCTCAGGAAAGAGGCTAAGCACTGCACTCTTGATTTATATCTGATGTCACAAATGACTGTCTGTCATTGAAATTTTTCTTTCTGCTTTCAGCACCGAGTGGATTTTCTTCAGCTGATGATTAACTCTCAGAATTCCAAAGAAATGGACACCCATAAAGGTAACCAAGGAGTTCTTCAGAGGGGCACTGATGGGGAGGCTCAGGAGGAGGTAGGAGTTCTGAAATGTCCAGGAAGTTTTCCAGACAGAAGAGAATTTCTGCAAAATTATAGAAAGACACATGTTCAGATATAAATGGTAGGCAGAGGCACTTTCTAAAAGCGTACAGTCACAACTTTCTTCAAAGCTTGAAGAGCAACCATAAATAAGTTATTTGAGAGTGACTGGAAGTCAGTCAGTGGTCTGTGGATCACCCACATCAGAACCTCTGGGGAGGTTGTTTCCAATGTCAATTCTCAGGCCTCATCCGGATCCACTGAATCAGAACTTCTGGATGGAAATTTGCATCAAGTCTTCATCATAACAGCAGGCACATTGCCCCAGTGTTGTTGACCTCAACTTGAATGCTTGGTAAAGATGTATTCACTAGCTTAATCTACTGCAAAGTTTTATTTTTCCCTGTGTAAATAATAAGTAATGTGTGGGGCAAAGCTTTGAGGCTGTGTAAACATGTTGTACCTCTTCAAAGTTTGCCTGCTTAGTGTATCATCCACAGATAGATTTGACTGAAACCATTATTACTGTGATGGTTGCAAAATGATGACTTTCTAACTCTGTCATTTCTTCTGCATTTATAGGTTGATGTTTCATTGTAAGGGAAAACTTTCCGTTCTCCCCAATTTATTTATTTGCTTATATATTTATATTAATATGGTCTCATACATAACAAATTTACTAGCTTATATCATTCTTTATTTTGATGCTCAAATTCTCTCAGATTTTTCCACTGGAAGCCCTTTCAAGTGGGCTCCTGTGTCCTTTGTTTTTCTTCTTCCTTTTTTTAATTTTACTTTTTTGATAGACTTTGTAAGAGTAGTTTTAGATTCACAGTAATATTGAGTGGAAGGTACAGAAATGTTCCCATATACCCCCTGCCCTGGCTACACACAAACTCTGTCACTCTCAAAATTCCTCATCAGAGTGAAATATATGTCACAATTAATGAGCTTACATTGACACAGTATTATCACCCAAAGTCCGTAGCCCAGATTAAGGTTCATGCTTTGTGTTGTCCTTTCTATGGTATGATGTATATCCACCATTACAGCATACAGAATGTCCTGTATCCTTTTCACCTATCATTTCCTGAACACTTCCTTGCTTTATGATGCAAGACATTCCAGGTTTCCCTTCTTCTCCTGACCAGTCCTGGAATAAACCATTTCTCCAAGGAGCTCTGCTTTCTTTTATTGAGAAATGGTATTCATAAACCCAAATCTGGTGCCTCATTGCTAATCATTAGCAGTAGCTCACTGCTACTAGGATGTCTCTGCTTCTAGTATCTCTCAGTAGACAAAACTAAGAACATCAAATGTATTTGTACAAAACTGATACACATAAATAATTCTATATCTACCCATAACCAGTGATGTAAACATGCTCTGTCTCTCAAAAAATGGCGCTGATTTATAGTTTATTTCCATGACATGAAAACTCCCATATGTTTAATTTCAACCTACCAATGGTTTGACAACCATCTCACAGAGCTCCTGAATATTTAACAATTATTCCTAGACAGTAGGGGTGATCTGAGTCAAACACACCAGTATAGATACATCTATATCTGTGCTTACATCTACTTCTAACTACCTGTCTTACTGTCTGTCTGTCTGTCTATCTATCTATCTATCTATCTATCTACCTAGTCAAACCCAGCTTTATGTGATGAAGGAAATACTCTATATCCTCATTGTTCAATACAGTAACCCTTAGGCACATGTGGCTATTGAACACTTGACATGTGGCCAGTGCCACTGAAGAACGGAACTTAAATTATATTTAAACTTAATTATTAAAATTAGCCACATGTATCTACCATATTGGACAGCACAGCTCTAAACTTTGAGTATCAGGAGGTTCACACTAACCAGGGGAAAGAATTTGATAGCCGAATTTACTGACAACCAGCATCACAGAAATCATCATTGGGAAATCAGAACTCTACAGAACTTTCTTATAATCATTTTTTATTGCTTTTAGTTGTGAATTGCATGGTTAGGTCAGCTATTATGTTTATTTCAGTGCCCTAAGTAAAGGTCCTACTCTAGTCCCAAGCAAGTAGATTTCACCCTGACCATGCTTAGTTTCTTTCAGAAGAAAATCACAAGGGAGGCCAACTTATAATCACAGGGGCAGTTTGCTGAGCATAAATTAGAGTGAAGAAAGACAGCATGTGCTGAGGAAGATGACATTCAGGCCATGATTGAATAAGTGTTGCTGTTACTCTCACTGGACCATGCATATATATTTTTTCAAGCTCTCCAATGCCCTCTATTGACACATTCTGCCGTCTTCTATTTTAATGCCATTAATTAGACTACAGTTAATCACCACTCTTCTAGCATTTTGCGTGTCTCTATATTTTCTGTACATATCTGAGATCTTCCATTTAAAGACTTGTACCACAGGTCTTCCACCATCTGATACTTCTCAAGGTGTCATTCATGCTCCAGCTAGATTGTGCACACAATCCACCACATCTCATGCAAGTTCAGAGTTTGATTCAATAGTTCTGCATTTTCAATAAGCTCCCAGATGCTGCTGGTACATGGACTACACTTTGAGTTGCAAGAGTTCATCTGTAGTGCAATATTATTCTCTTAAGTTCCTCAAACATGTTTAGAGGAAAGATCCTTTAATTTTCTCTACCATTAAGCTTTAGTATTGCAGACTTGCTTTAAAAATTTCAAGCTATATTATAGCTAGAATAACTTAATTTGTTCCTGAGGGAGAATGCTGCCCCATATTACTTGCAGCTAACGTACTTTTAGGACTCTCCAAGGGACATACTGATAACACTGTGTATGTTAGACAGAAATGCTATCTCTTGAAATTACCCAGCTATGTTGGTGGGGATGGTGGCATAACCAGGAGTAGATTTCAAGAATAGTGTAGATCTTAGGGAAAAACTGAATTAAGACAATTTTTGCCTTTTTCTGGCTCTGTCAGATAGAGTGCAAACCACTCCCAGTTTGATTCCAAACTGCTTTTCTCTTTTTTTCCCTAGGATGTTGAGAGTTTCATTTGGATTTCTAATCATCTAAACTGTAATGTTTTACACTGACCTGCTTTACCTAAAATGTTTCTTCTCCTTTTAGCTCTGTCTGATCTGGAGCTTGTGGCCCAATCTATTATCTTTATTTTTGCTGGGTACGAGACCACTAGCACTTCTCTTTCTTTCCTTATGTATCTTTTGGCCACTCATCCTGATGTCCAGCAGAAGCTTCAGGATGAGATTGATGTGACTTTCCCAAATAAGGTGAGTGGATGATACCTAGAGTGGGAGGGAGAAGGTGAAGACTTAGCAAGAATGTCTCCTCATCACTTCTTAGGAGAATTCGTTCAAAATGCATAAGTATCAATTCTTTTACCTGCACCTTTTATGAAGGATTTAAAGAGATGAAAACAAAGGGAGAAACATAGGTAATGTATGCTGCTCACATAACTATAAGATCTTTGAAAAAACTGTTTGTCCTGGCATATCAGTTATCTGTTCCCGTAATCAGGCCAAGCAAAAATCACAAAACCTCAGTGGCATTTAACAATAAGAATTTATTTCTCAAGTGTCTGGATAGTTACCTCTATTGATATTGGCTGGGCTTTCTTTGGACAAGGTGTTGGCTGGTCTAGGCTGGCCTTGGCTAAGCTGGATGGGCTGACTCAGCTCCACATGTGATCCATTCATCTCTCATGGTCCAAAAAACTAGCTTGGGTGTCCTGTTTGTAGGGTTATTGCAGAGGGCAAGAGCAAGAAGCCCAATCATATGGGCGCTTTTCAAGACTGCACTTGCATCACACTTGGCCAACATTGCATCAGTTCAAAGCAAGCCACATGGGTAACCCTAGAGTCAGAATGGGAGTATACCACAAAGTTATGTGGCAGAGGCCATGGACACAGAAAAGGGTGGAGAATTAGGACCACTAGTTCAATCTACTACCCTGGGTAAACTTTGCAGACTAGGAGAAGCCTGGTGTAGAGGACAGAGCATAGGATAAGAAATGAAAGACATGACTTTGAGTCCTGACTGTGATTTTGGACAAGCCTCATGAATTTTGTCAGTCATAGGTATTTCATACATATAAGGTAAGGAGACATTTTAGGGCCTACCTAAATTAAAAATTATCTCTTTTCTCTGGTAAAGCCCATATTGGGATTCTTTTGTTTGAAATATGATGTCACTTAGAGACAGAGATTAGCTAAAGCATTTTGTTCTCCTTTTTTTATAATAATAATTACAAGGAAAATAACAACACAAATAGTTTATATTTGCCTCTTAATATATATGTCTGTCCTAAATGCTTTCTAAGCGAATATAACCTTCGTAAAATTCTGTATTAGTCAGGATAGGCTAGGTTGTGCCTCAGTAACAGATGAGCCCTCAATATCAGTGAATTTACATAACAAAGGTTTATTCTAACTCAGATTTACATTTCCAACTGGATGTTAATAGAAGATGGGAGTAGGAGTCTCTGCTCCACATAGTTACTAGGGTTACAGGCTATGAGGTTTCACTTTCTTGTAGCTGATTAGAACATGAGGCCTTCCTGTGGGATGGGGAGTAAAGAACTAGAGTGTTCTTCAATGGCTTTTCAAATATTTTGTCCCCAAACTGACATACATCACCTCATTTCACAACGGATTGGCAAAGCTTATTTCTCCTAAGTTCAATGGCCTGGGAAATATGGGGGACTACATGGATACTGGATGAGCAGTGAATGTCTCTGATGTACAACTCTATGAAGTGTCAACTTTAATTATCTGTGGCACATTTTGGAAAATTGAGCTACAGAGAGATGAAATACTTTCATATACTAGTCATGTAACTGGTAGTGAGGAAGACAAGCTATGATCCAGGACGTCTGGCTCCTGAGCCGAACTCTTAACATCTGCAATATTGATTCTTCAATATAACACCAAGAGATAGCCACAAGTTGTCTACACTGTTTTCAGATCTCTGCTAAAACTGGATTTCATTTTTTTTCCCAGGAGGAAAATGTATTTATTTATTTATTTTTCCATGTAGTTAACAATTTACCTAAATTGTTTTTTAACCTTTATTTTTTGTTGCAGTAATGTTGGTATACAACATTATATAAATTTAAGGTGTACATCATTATATTTTGATTTCTTTGTAGATTACATCATGTTCACCACCCAAAGACCAATTACAATCCATCACCATACACATGTGCCTAAACCCCCTTCCCCCCCTCCTTCCTCCTCCCTTCCCCTCTGGTAAGCACCAATCCAATCTCTGTTTCTATGTGTTTGTTTGTTGTTGTTTTTATCTTCTACTTATGAGTAAGATCATTTGGTATTTGAATTTCTCCTTCTGACTTACTTAGCTTGGCAGAATACCCTCAAGGTCCGTCCATGTTGTCATAAATGAACAGATTTCATACTTTTAATGGCTGAATAGTATTCCGTTGTGTATATATACCACATCTTCTTTATCCATTCGTCTTTTGATGGGCATCTAGGTTTCTTACAAGTCTTGGCTGTTGAGAAAAATGCTGCGATGAACATAGGGGTCCATATATCTTTTTGCATTCATTTTTTGTGTGTGTTCTTTGGATAAATACCCAGCAGTGGAATAGCTGGATCATATGGTAGTTCTGTTCTTAATTTTTTGAGGAATCTCCATAGTGTTTTCCATAGAGGTTGCACTCCTACCAGCAGTGTATGAGAGATCCCTATTCTCCACATCCTCTCAAACACTTGATGTTTCCTGTCTTGTTAATTATAGCCATACTCATGGATATGAGGTGATATCTCATTGTGGTTTTGATTTACATTTCCCTGATAATTAGGGATGTTGAACATCTTTTCATGTGCATGTTGGCCATCTGTATATCTTCTTTGGAGAAATGTCTGTTCAGCTCCTTTGCCCGTTTTTAAATTGGCTTGTTAGTTTTTTTTTTGTTGAGATGTATGAGTTCTTTACATCTTTTGAATAATAACCCCTTATGTAATATATGGTTTGCAAATATCTTCTCCAAATTGTAGGGTTGTCTTTTCGTTTTGTTGATGGTTTCCTTCACTGTGAAGAAGCTTTTTAGTTTTATGTAGTCCCATTTGTATATTTTTTCTATTGTTTCCTTTGCCCTGTCAGACGTGGTCCTTGAAAATGTGCTGCTAAGACCGATGTTAAAGAATGTAATGCATATGTTTTCTTCTAGGAATTTTATGGCTTCAGCTCTTACATTCAATTCTTTAATACATTTTGAATTAATTTTTGTGTATGGTGTAAAATAATGGTCTATTTTCATACTTTTGCATGTGGCTGTCCAGTTTTCCAAACACCACTTGTTGAAGAGACTCTCCTTTCTCCATTGTATGCTCTTGGTTTCCTTGTTGAAAATTAGCTGTCTATGGATGTGTAGGCTTATTTCTGGGCTCTCATTTCTGTTCCATTGATTTGTGTGTCTGTTTTTGTGCCACTACCATACTGTTTTTTTACTATAGGTTTGTACTATATTTTGAAATCAGGGAGTGTGATACCTCCAGCTTTGTTCTTTTTTCTCAGGATTGGTTTGGTTATTTGGGGTCTTTTGTAGTCCCATAAAATTTTAGGATTCTTTGTTCTCTTTCTGTGAAAAATGTCATTGGAACTTTGAAATGGATTGCATTGAATCTGTAGACTGCGCTGGGAAGTATGGACATTTTAAATGTCTAATTCTTCCAATCCAAGAGCATGGAATATCTTTCTATTTCTTTGTGTCTTCTTCAATTTCTTTCAACAATGTTTTATAGTATTCCATGTACAGATCTTTAACCTGTTAAGTCCATTCCTAGGTATTTTATTCTTTTTGTTTCAATTGTAAATAGGATTGTATTCTTAATTTCTCTTTCTGCTACTTCGATGTGAGTGTAGAAACACAACAGATTTTTGTATGTTGATTTTCGTACCCCACAACTTGACTGTATTCACTCATTATTTCTAAAAGTTTTTGGTGGATTCTTTAGGGTTTTCTATATATAAAATAATGTCACCTGCAAATAGTGATGGTTTTACTTCTTCCTTTCTAATTTGGATCCTGTTTATTTCTTTTTCTTGCCTGATTGCTCTGGCTAGGACTTCCAATACTATGTTAAATAAGAGTGGTGAAAGTGGACACCCTAGTCTATTTCTGTTCTTAGAGAGATAGCTTTCAGTTTTTCTCTATTGAGAAAGATATTAACTGTGGGTTTGTCCTATATGGCCTTTATTATGTTGAGGTATTTTCCTTCTATACCCATTTTATTCAGTTTTTAAAATCATAAATGGATGCTGTGTCTTGTCAAATGCTTTCTCTGCATCTATTGAGATGATCCTATGATTTTTATTCTCCATTTTGTTAAAGTAATAAATCACTTTGGTTGATTTGTGGATATTGAACCATCTCTTCATCCCTGGAATAAACCCCATTTAATCATGTTGTACGATCTTTTTAATGTTTTGTTGTATTTGATTTGCTAGTGTTTTGTTGAGAATGTTTGCATCAATGTTCATCAGTCATATTGGCCTGTAATTTTCTTTTTTTGTGTTGTCCTTCTTTGGTTTGGTATCAGGGTTATGTTGGCTTTGTAGAATGAGTTAGCAAGCTTCCCTTCCTCTTCAATTTTTTGGAAGAGTTTGAGTAGGATAGGTATTAAGTGTTCTTTGACTGTTTAGTAGAATTCACCAGGCAAGTCATCTAGTCCTGGGTCTTTATTTTTTGATTACTGTTTTGATTTACTTACTGGTAATTAGTATATTCAAATTCTCTATTTCTTCTTGATTCACCTTTGGAAGGTTGTATGATTCTAGAATTTATCCATTTCTTCTATATTATCCAATCTGTTGGCATGTAGCTTTTTGTAGCATTCTCTTATAACTTTTTGCATTTCTGAGGTGGACGTGTTAATTTCCCCTCTTTCCGATTTTATTTATTTGAGCCCTCTCTTTTTTTCTTGGTGAGTTCTTTTCAAAGAACCAGCTCTTAGTTTCATTGATTGTTTTTCTATTGTTTTTTAAGTCTCTTTTTCATTAATTTCTACTCTGATTTTTATTATTTACTTCCTTCTACTGATTTTGGATTTTCTTTGTTATACTTTTTCCAGTTACTTTAGGTATACTGTTAGATTGTTTATTTGAGACTTTTCTTGTTTGTTGTGGTAGGCTTGTATTGCTCTAAACTTCCCTCTTAGAACCACTTTTGCTGTATCCCATAAATTTTGACATATCATATTTTCATTTTCATTTGTTTCCAGATATCTTTTGATTTCTGCTTTGATTTCTTCATTGACCAAATCGTTGTTCAGTACCATTTTGTTTAATGTCCACACGTTTGTGGGTTTTCTAATTTTCTTCCTGTAGTTGATTTCTAGTTTCATACACTTGTGGTCAGAAAAGACGTTTAGTATTATTTCAATCTTCTTAAATTTATTGAAACTTGTTTTTTTGCCTAATATGTGATCTATCTTGGAGAATGTGCCATGCGCATTTGAAAAGAATATGTATTTTGCAGTTTTTGCATGGACTGTTCTATATATATCTACTAAATCATTCTGGCCTAATGTGTCATTTAAGGCCAATGTTTCTTTATTGATCTTCTGTTTGGATGATCTATCTATTGGTGTAAGTGGAGTGTTAAAGTCTCCTACTATTATTGTGTTGCTGTCTATTTCTCCTTTTATGTCTGTTAATAATTGCTTTATATATTTAGGTGCTCCTATGTTGGGTGCATAGATATTTACAAGTGTTACATCCTATTGTTAGATTGTTCCCTTTATCATTATGTAGTGCCCTCTTTATCTCTTGTTAACAGTTTTTGTTTTAAAGTCTATTTTGTTTGATGTAAGTATTGCGTCTCCAGCTTTCTTTTCATTGTCATTTGCGTGGAGTATCTTTTTCCATCCCTTCACTTTCAGTTTGTGAGTATCTTAGAAGTGTGTCTCTTGAATGCAGCATATGTATGGGTCTTTTTTTTTTTTAATCCAATCACCCACCGTATGCCTTTAGATTGGAACATTTAGTCCATTGACATTTAAAGTAGCTATCGATGAGAATGTACTTATTGCCATTTTGGTACCTTTTTTCTAGGTATTTTAGTAGTTCTTCTCAGTTCCTTTCTTCTTCTCTTGCTGTCTTCCCTTGTGGTTTGATGGCTTTCTTTAGTATTATGTTTGGGTTCCTTTCTCTATATTTTTTGTGTATTTATTATAGGTTTCTGGTTTGTGATTACCATGAGGTTCATATATAATAGCTTATACATATAGCAATATTTATTAAGTTGATGGTCTCTTTAGTTTGATCTCTTGCCAAAAGCTCTACTCTTTTGCTCCCCTCCTCCCACATTTTATGTTTTTGATATCATATCTTGCCTCTTACTTTGTGTGTGTTTGTATCCATTACCCTTTCATCATGGAAAAAGATAATTTTAGTACTTTTCCATTTGAACTTCATATTATCTTAATAAATGGTTTATCTGCTACTTTTACTCTATATTTGTGTTTACTAGTGATTTTCTAATTTATTTTTTTATTTCAGTGACATTGGTTTATAACATGATATAAATTTCCTGTGTATATCATTATATTTGATTTCTGTGTTGAATATGTTATGTTCATCACCCAAAGACTAATTACAATCAATCACCACACAAATGTGTCTAATCACCACTTGTGCACTCCCCCTACCCACTTCCCCTGTTTTACCAGTTATTTTATTTTTTTGATAATTTTATGTTCCTATTTGTGGTCTTCTCTTTTCTCCTTACATAATAAGTCCCTTTAGCATTTCTTGAAGGGTAGTTTCTTGGTGATAAACTCTCTTAGTTCTTGCTTCTCTGGGAAACTCTTTATCTCTCCTTCCATTCTGCATGATAACCTTACATGGGCAGAGTATTCTTCGCTGTAAGGTTTTCCTTTCAGCACCTTAAATATATTGTGCCACACCTGTCTAGTCTGTAATGTTTCTGCTGAGAAGTCAGCTGATAGCCTTATGGGATTTCCTTTGTATGTTACCTGTTGCCTTCCTCTTGTAGCTTTTAGGATTCTCCCTTTATCTCTAATTCTTGACATTTTAATTATAATATGTCTTGGTGTGAGCCTCTTTGGGTTTCTGTTATTGGGTGCTCTCTGTTCTTCTTGTACCTCGAGGTCTGTTTCCTTCCTTAGGTTCGGAAAGTTTTCAGCTATTATTTCTTCAAATAGATTCTCTGCCCCTTTGTCTCTCTCTTGTCCTTCTGGGACACCTATAATATGGATGTTACTGTGCTTGATGTTGTCCCAGAGGTCTCTTAGACTGTCTTCATTCTTTTTAATTCTTTTTTCTTTTATTGGTTCCACTTGGGTGATTTCCTCTAGTCTGTCATCCAGCTCACTGATCCATTCTTCTGTATCATCTGCTCTGCTATTGTGTCTCTCTGGTGAAGTTTTCATCTCCAGTGTTGTATTTTTCATTTCGAATGGGTTCTTTTTCGTATTTTCCAATTATTTGTTGAAATTCCCACTGAGTTCACCCATTCTTCTCCCAAAATCAGTGAACATCTTTATGGCTATTAGGTATTACTCTTTGTCAGGTAGATTGTATATCTCTGTTTTGTTTTGTACTTTTTTCTGGGGTTTGTCCTCTTCTCTTACTTGGAATACATTCCTTGGCCTCCTCATTTTGGCTCTTTCTCTGTGCTTATATATATATTAGGTAGGTAAGCTACTTCTCCTGATCTTGGAGAGGTGGCCTTATGTAAGAGGTGCCTTATGAGGTCCAGCAGTGTACTTTGCTCTTTTCACCAGTTCTTAATGTTCCAGGAGTGTCCCTGGTGTGGGCTACATAGGCCCTTCTGTTGTGACTGGGTTCCCCTTGCTGTAGGTGCCTGAGGAGTCTAGGCTATACCCCTGGCTGGCTGGTTGTAATGCTCAGCTGCCTGTGGCTGCTATGGATCCTTCAGTCACTTTATTGATTGTGGGGAGCCACAGCACAGTTGGCTTCAAGGTCTAATAGCACATTCCTGTTGCACTTTTCCTGTTAAGTGAGTAGGCCCCACTGTGTCTTGTTGATTGGCTCAGGGGATTGCAATTGTTGTAGGCCTCTGTCCTGCAAGGCTGTGGTCAGCTCTCTCAGGATTGCAGCTGAGTGGGGCCAACACCAGGCATGGGAGCGCCCAGTTGTTTCAGGCTTTGGAAGGTGTGGCCAATCCTCTATGTGGCTGTTTGAGAATCACAGGTCTACTGCAGCTGACAAGCCCAGCAGTCTGCAGGACCACAAACCCTGTTAACACAGTCCTGTCCCATGCATGCATCCTGCCCCATGGAAGTGGACCCATTCACCCCACTTCTGACACCCCACACACTGCACAAAAGCAGGCCCACCCCTCACAAACTCCCTGCCTTACAGAGGTGGGCTCACTCACCTGGCTGCAGAAGCTCCTGGCATCCCACTGCTGCAGGCCTACAAGTTGCCTGAGGGCTTGCTGTTGGTTGTAGCCAGTCCCTAGGCCAGTCCCCACTGTGCCTGCCCTAGCTGAGCTGGATTAAATTGGTGCTGTAGTGGATGGGATAGACCCTGGGCTAACAGGCTGGGGAAGAACTCCAGTGGTGCTGGCCAGTGTCTGTGTCAGCACACCTGTCACAATAATGGCTGCTGCCAATGTCTCAGTCCCTGGGGAGGTCTCACCTCTCACTGAGATGCACCCAGAGCCTACCAAGTGAGTCTCTTTTCAACGAAGGACCATGTATCTTTCTTTCTGGTGATTTTAGGTTGCTGTCCAAAATGGGTGAATTCATGTGTGGGCCCTTTAAGGGCAGGGTTTTTTCCCCTTGTGTCTGATAGCTTTTCTGGGGGTATTCTTTGTAGCTTTTAATAGCCCAGAAAAGCCAGATATTATAACACTTGTCTCAGTAGTGCTGAGTCCAAAAGCTGCTTTTTGTGGTAGTGCTCCCCTGCTCTGATCCCCGACTCCTACAGAGAAGGCTTCATACCTTAAGATTGTTCCCAGCCAGCCGTGAAGCACCATGGCTTGAAAGTGGCTTTTTTTCTCTCTAGAAAGGAAATTCTGACTCTTCCACTTCAGTCATCAGTGTCCCTTTCTGTGGGAGTTCTTTTTATCCAATTTTCAGTTCCCTCAGGGATAGTTCTCCCAAGCATAGTTGTAAATTTGTTCTGTCCATGGAAGAAGGTGAGTTCAGAGTCCACCTACACTGCCATCTTGACACCAGCATGGAATTCTTTGTAATGAGAAGAGATCTGACCTCTCTGGCTGGAGGGGTTTGTTTAAGTCTTCAGAGCTTACAGTCAAATCCTGAAGCAGCAACTAGGAGACCATTCCAGCAACAGAGGATGGGGCTGGGAGTAGTGTTCTGATCCTTTCCATAACCTTCCCTAGAACCAACATTGTGTGGTTTGGCACCATCGAGTCTTGCTTTTCTCTTGTCATATTTGGTTTAGAAAGGAGCTAGTTTTCCCCCAAATTATTTATAGAGATTTTATATAATACAGTGTTTCTGTCCAAATTTTATATGGATAATCTTAAGTGCTAGCAAGCAGGATTTTTCAGCTAAAAGACTTTATGTCAAATAGGGGATTTTCTCTTTTACACACTCACTTTCCTTGGTATAGATATGTGGCCTCTTTTTGGAAAGGAAACAATGACTTTGGCATATGTCACTTAAGAGTAAGGTCACAGTCTATTAATCACATTTGATCACATGAGAAAGAAAAACCTCTACATCGTAATTTGAGGGATTTCAGGCCCTGTTTAGGGTATTGTCCCAGTGAACTCCCATAGTCATAGCTACTCCGCATATCTCAATGAATGACTGAACAGGTCAGAGGACATGATATGTATTAAAATCTCTATAAATTCTAAGGTCCTTTATCAATATGAATTTTTATTTTGTGCTTCTAACATTTCATTAGTACTACAGAGACTGTGCGGAAATTTTACCCCAAATCTCAATTTATCAAAATCTGCTTCTTTCTTCCCAGGCCCTTCCCACCTATGATACCCTGTTACAGATGGAGTATCTTGACATGGTGCTGAATGAATCTCTCAGATTGTTCCCAATTGCTGGTAGACTTGAGAGGGTCTGTAAGAAAGATGTGGAAATCAATGGAGTGCTAATTCCCAAAGGGACAGTGGTGATGGTGCCAACCTTTATTCTTCATCGAGCCTCAGAGTTCTGGCCTGAGCCTGAGGAGTTCTGTCCTGAAAGGTACAGTGCCCCTGGGAAAGGGAATACACTCTGATCCTGGCAGGTTTGGGCATATTCTGGCATCTTTTAGTATAGATGACAAATGTGTTATGTGCAATCATTTGTACATAATTTTATTTTTAAAAGTTTGTTTTTCTTATTACAAGAGTGATCACTGTTGTCAAAGTTTCACTAACTGCACACTAGGAAAAAGAAAATTATAGCTGCTCACATTGCCAATACCTTAAGATACGCCTCATTAATAATATGATGTATGTCCTTATGGACATTGTTCTATGCATATATAGACTTTAAAAAATTATAATGGCATTATATTTTATTTGGTTGTGAACTAGTTACTTTAACAGGAAAATATAAGTAATATCTTATGCTACTACATATGTGTGTGTGTGTATATATATATGTGCGTAAATTTTGAGTGTGTTCATATTTTGCCATACATTTACTAAACCACTGTTTTATTTTAGGAATATAGGCTTATACTTTCCTTTCTGTTTTTCTATACGGTTCTCTTCAGATCTTTAAATTACCACCAAATTTCCCACATTCCATTTTTTCCAACATTGGTGCTGTTTCCTTTAGCATTATTATGAGAGTACAGGTGATGACCTGAGTGGTCCTCTTCCCTGGTGGTTTAAGCAGACTTATTGAGGATGAAGGTGAGCACAGGACCTCTGGTGCTGTCCATGACAACCAATCCTGTGCCAGCTCCCGTCTACTCTTAGCATTGGGTGACCCTTCCAAAGCAAAGTCATCTGCTCTCTAAACATCTGAGACATCCTCCTTGGTGGGGTCTTGAACGTGCTCTTCTGGGAATTCAGAGCCAAGGTCTGACTTTGGGCACAACTTGAACTCTGGAAAGAGTTGATAATTTCCCATTTACTGTATTGGTGAGCACAACTTGGAATGAACTTTTTAGGGCACTAGCTAAGATCTAGACTTTTATTAGCCCCCGAGTATAAGCTCCCTCATTCCAGGGACTTTGTCATATTGGCCCTGGTGTCCCTAGTGCTGGCATAGCAACTACACATAGTACTTGTTGAAAGAAGAAGTCAGAGTTGACCAACTCCTATTTTTCCTGGACCAGGGGACCTCTGTGGTTCCTCCCAGCTCAGCAGTTTCCCTTTATGTAACTTCGTAAACATAAAATCAGAGACCAGTCACTGTATTTCTTTTTTTTTTGATTCATTCAGTCATCAAACAAAAAGTAAGTGCTTAGTTTGTGTCATGAACTGGGCCATGCAGTGAGAAATCCAAATGTTAAAAAATATTCCTATTAAGGGCTGCCCCATGGCTGAGTGGTTAAGTTCATGTGCTCCATTCCAGCGGCCCAGGGTTTCACTGCTTCAGATCCTGGGAGAGGACTCAGCACAGATCATCAAGAAATGCTGAGGCAGTGTCCCACGTAGCAGAGCCAGAAGAACCTACAACTAGAATATACAACTATGTACTGGGAGGCTTTGGGGAAAAGAAGAAGAAGAAAAAAGATTGGGAACAGATGTTAGCTCAGGTGCCAGTCTTTAAAAAGAAATTCCTATTAAGGAGGATTTTTGATATGTCCACAAGTATATGTGTATTTAACATGTACCCAAGCATATGAGTTTTCATGCCTCTATATGTCTCCATCACTTGCCCAACAACCATCAGCTCATGTTAGCTGCCCCATTCGCACATCATTGCTACTCTTCTCCTGAATTCCCTATTATTATGTCACATTATCTATAACTATTCCAGAATGTTCTCTAAAATATAAGGACTCTTTAAAAAGTACATACTACAATGCCATTATCACTTTCCTGAAATCCACAATTATTCTTAATGTAATTACGTGTTGAGGAATCAAATTGGATAAAATATAGGTCTAGCCTTCAAGGAATTTATAGCTTAGTGTAACAGAGAGAGAAGGAAATCAGTGATTATACTGTAGTAGAGTAGCGTTGTATGCCCATGTAAATCATCTGACAGGCTTTTCTACAGGAGAGGGGGGGGGAGAGAGAGAGAGAGAGAGAGAGGGAGAGGGAGAAGTGGAGGGGGGAGAGGAAGAGAAGAGAAGGGAAAATAGCAATTTAAATAATGGGGGACATTTCTCCTGCTTCCTTTCTTCACGAGCACATGACCAACATAAACGAGTGGAGGCAGGAATCTACTTTTCCTTCATCACTTTCATTTCCTTTTGTGAACACCTCATCACCCTGAGTGTAGTTTTCATGTTTAAAGATAAATTTTAATTTAAACAGCATTAATCTCATCTCTTCAACAAGATTGAAAGCTCCAAGAGGGTCATGGGAATGAAAAGGATCTGTAGCTTACACTTCTCACAGCAAAATACCCATAGCAGCATGTCAATGACTAGCCCACAAAAGTGTCCTGTGTACTACTGGTTGAGGAGTCTAAGTGAGAACTCCAAACCTGTAGCTCTTGTGGATTTTATATTTGATTAACTTCTTGTCATCTACTATTGTGGAACCAGGTTCAGTAAGAATAACAAGGACAACATAAATCCTTATATATACCTGCCCTTTGGAACTGGACCTCGAAACTGCATTGGCATGAGATTTGCTATCATGAACATGAAACTTGCTATCGTCAGAGTGCTGCAGAACTTCTCCTTCAAACCTTGTAAAGAAACACAGGTCAGACAGTTAACTTTCTGCATGAATAATGATTTCTTGGAGGTTTTCTTTTAAAACCGAGGATTATATACATATATATATATAATATATATGAATATAAAGAATAAATTATCCTTTGAAGAGCATACATATATATAAAAGAATATGTGCTATTCAAATAATAATTTATTCTATTGGCCAGAGTATATCTGAAGTCATGTGCAACCTGTAGAGCCATTCAGCTCTGGTCTGCTAAGTCTGTGGCTTAATAAAGATTCAACTATAAAGGTCATATAGAATCAATTCAGCTTCTCTGACATGATTGTGTTCAGTCCTTTGAACTTGAGCAAAGTTTAAAATTCTATTTGAAGTCCACTGGAAGGAAGGGGAAGTGTTGTAAATAGCCATGAAATTCAGTGATTACCACATCATGCCTTTTGAAGGATGCTCTTATCCACCAGAACTTACTGAAGCTTTATGACAATGGTTCACATCTACTGTCTGTATAATGAAATCAATAGAGTACTTTAAAAATTTTTCAAGCCTAGGTGCTCTCAGAAATTCTAAAATAATTCACCCATGTGTGGCTTTCAAAGCACCCCCGTTGATTCTCATGTGCAGCCAAGGTTGAGAATCATGAACTGAAAGCATTTCTACCAGATGTGAAGGACTCCCACAGTCTGGGGCCATCCTGATTATTTGACCTCACCTTCCAGAATCCCAACTCCAGTCAAGCTGGGCTCTTTTTACATCCTCATAATAACTCTATGAATGTTTTTCTCACTCTCCTTTCCTCCATGTTCTGTTCTCATCTTTCAAGTTGTCATTCAATCCCCAAGCCCCTCCTTGGGGCCTTCCCCATCAAGTCCAGAGCCTATTCTCTCCTTTGCTCTGTTGTCAATTACTGCAGGCTGGTATCATTGGCCAGAGCACTTAATTTAATACTTTGTCATTAAAACATCCAGTTTTGTTCTCTGTGTTTTCTTTGTACCTAAGAATGTCTCTAACACTAGCACCTCATTTATTCCTTTCATAAACTCCCAGTTATGCCTTGCTGTCATTCAGTGAATGCTTAAGGAGTGATTTGCAGTTGATTTAGAGCTGCTGGATACAAATTTAGAACAATTTTAACTATAAAAATTTAACAAATTGGATTTGTGTATGTGTGTGTTGTGTGTGTGTCTGACTGCCTGCAGGTGATATATATGCACATCATTTCAAATTAGAAAATAACAAGGTTTTACATTTATAGAAGGATCAGGAATCTCTCCTTGATTACATAAAGAGCAGTAGCCATTGATTCATATCAAGCAAGTTCCTATAATAAGACTTATTTCTGGAATTTTTGCATTTAATATGCAACTCCTCTCCTTAAGTATGCTTTCTGCAGGAGAGAGGAGAATGGAGATGATTTCCATCTTATTTGTAGCATAACGCATCTGTGTGGCAATCCTGTAAGAGTGGACAAACAGAGGACTCAGCCCTGAGAGAAAGTGGGCCTCTGGCACACCTGGGATAGACAGACACTTTCTGCAAACTCTCAGTCTTCCACAAGCTGGTGCCTCTCACTCTCCACGACTATTTTCTTGCCCTTCAGTCCAGTGACTTCACAAGATTGCTCTGCCACTGGCTCCCCCAACACTGAGGAGTGACTATAAAAGAACTGAGCTAATAGTATTGGTTAAAAAACTGTAGGTCTTCAGAAGTGCACTATTTGCATTACACGTGGGAGCCAGGAGATGTTAAAAAATAGGCATAGTGCTTCACAAAGACCTCTCCCCGTCATGAAACTGGATGAGTTCCACTGGAAGAAGTGACTGGACTCTTTAGAACTTGAAGATGTCCCACACAGTTAAAATGTGTAATACACACTCCAAGTTACCTTGTAAGTTTCAAAATACACAAAATTAACTCTATATGGCTTGTCAAAATAGTTTGCCATAAACCCTAAGGATTTGGTTTAAATTTTAAAGGTTCATTTTTACTTAAATTTTAACTCAAAAAGGAATACAAGCCAACATCATTTTGTGTCTGGCCTTGTCCAGAATATGTGCTCCATAGATATTTTGTTGAATGAATAGATGGATGAAAGCTTTCACTATCCAGTCTGACATAGTTTACAGATGAAGTATAAAGAATCAAATTTACATGATGCTAAAAGTAGTTTATATGTTTGTAAACCATTATTGTCCTTAATGTATCTTATCTACTTTGCTTCTGTTATCGACAGGGTGTCATTAAGCAGTTCTCATATGCTTGTTTAACTGTTGCAGATCCCCCTGAAAATAGGCAATCAAGGACTTATTCAACCACAGAAACCCATTGTTCTAAAGGTTGAGTCCAGAGATGGTACCTGGAATGGAGCCTGATTTTCCCTAAGGACTTCTGCTTTGTCCTTCAAGGAATCTGTATCCGAGAACACCAGAGACCTTAATTTACTTTGTGAATAAAATCCAGAATGAAGATGAACTTAACCTACTGAACTTGATGGATGCCTATTGATTCTTACATTCCTGAGCTTTCTCAGTGTCTACACAGAGTATTATATGTTGTGTGATATAAAGGAGGGGCTAAATAAGTGCCAGATATTGGGACTCAGTATATCTGGTTTTCACAGGACGATCTCCATCCACCCCCAGTTAATACCATATACTCTTCCTGAGCACTGACTGAGAATAAAACTTTCTCAACAATTTTATCAACAAACTTTAATGAGAACAAGAATTATTCTGCTGACTGTAGTAGAGGCATTTATATCACATGTTCATTTAGAATATTCCATAAAGTATTATATTTCACAAGTCAATGAACATCTCTTTACAAAAGTATTATCTGATGCCTTTGTGCACATTAGGGGGAATCTGGAATGGAATCAGTGAGAGCCAGTGATTAAAAGTTTTTGAGCCTCAGAATCACTGATTGGGTGGGGTCTTTTTCAGAATTCCCATTAGGTATAATAAGGTAGATGAGAGTTAATCTACTGTGATTTTGCCTGTTGCTTAGAAAGTATATCCACAGCTTAATTCTCTCTTTTTTGGAGCACATATTTCTTGTAACACTCAGCTGAGGCACTTATCATTAGAATATTAACTTTGCTTTAGGGTTTTTATCTTATCTCCCCTACTTGCCTGAAGGCAGGAAACATGTTGTCTTATATCTCTTTGTGTTCCATCCTCAACTCCAACTGTCTTAACACAATGGAGATCAAATAAGAAATGGTTGATAGATCAACTGATTGGGCAGAAAGGCTACAAGTTTTCATCAGTTTAAGTTGACATCAGAAGCGGCATACGTTCTTCCTTTTCTTTTTCTGATGCTTCCCTCCCTTTCCCTCTCCTCCCCATCTTCCCTTCCTGGATAACTTTCTCCTAAAGTCAGTAGGTGGGGCAGAGCAATGTGGGAAGCCACGTGTTGGAGGGGAAGGGTGGAGAAGGGAGTCACAGCGGCTCCAAGTCAGGTACAGAGCAGGGTGGGGAGAGTGTGCACATGGAGGGACAGCCTGACATACGTGTGGGAGTGCAAGGAAGGTGAGAAAGGGGTCCACCTGAGGGGTGGTCTGGTGAGAGCAGCCAGAACCCAAATAGGGTGTGGAGAATCCAGGTAGGGTAACAAGAGCATCCGTGTGTCGAAAGGGATGGAGTGTGGATTGGCTACATAAAGGGGGATTCATCAAATAAGTAAATATGTTAACGATCCTGGGAGCCAGGTTTCTGCGTTTTGGAGAAGGGAGTCACTGATTCGGAAAAGGAGAAAACCAGAATGAACTCTGTGGAGTCAGGGATAGGAACTGAAAGTATTAGTGTGAATTCATGCTTTTTGTATAAGTAGATGGTTGATAAATGTTAGACAGATAGATGTGTGTGTGTGTGTGTGTGTGTGTAAATATAAAAACACATCCTCCTTACTTCTCTCCACTGATAGGGCTTAGGAACGGTGACACGCTAATAGCAATAAGCACATCTTCGGCCCAGATCTTGACTTATAAATACTATTTTCTACTAAAAGGAACCAGGGCTCCTTAGAGAAATGGCTAATCCCAGGGCTGGGACTGGGACAGTACAAGATGAGCCTGAAACGTCTTGTTGTGCTAGAAGGGAAGAGAATGCTAAAAAGTGGTGAGGACGTGTCAACAGGACACAGAAGCCAGCCTGAGGGGCTTCCACTGAACAAATCAGAGACAATTTGAGCATCACAATAAGAATGATAGTAAGAGATTAGGACCCACTGTATAAAGTAGGACAACATGAGTACACACAGATACATACAAATGAATGGATATATTGCAATTTGGTGAGGATATTTACAAAGTGCTGCTGCTCAAAATTCACATTAATTACAAGGGGAAATGGTAGTTTCACAGTGGGGAAACCTGGAAGACACATGCTTAATCAAGTGATCAGGGAGATCATCACTGGGAACAGGATGAATTGACCAAGTGTCACCTGATGGGATGCAGTGAGAACTCAGTGTCACCTCTGTGACAGTTCTGCCAAGGAAGCAAACCTGAAAGAAATCCTGAAACAATCAGACAAACCCAAACTGAGGAATATTATAGTCCTGGTCTGTACTGCTGTTTAATCTTCAAAAGAGTCAAGGTCATGATAGCCAAAGACTGAGGAAGTGTTCCAGACCAAAGACTACAAAGAGCTGACATGTAAACAGAACATGTGGGCTGGGTCCTTCTGCTATAAAGGACATTGTTAGGACTACTGTGAGGATTCAGTGGAGTCTGAGGGTTAGATGGCAGTAATATAGCAGCACTAATTTCCTGACTTTGAAGTTCATATTGAGGTAATGTAGGAGAATATCCTTGTTTGTAGGAAATACAGGGGGATATGAAGTATCAGGTCGGCAATTTACTCTGAGATGGCTCAGGAAAATAGTTCTTTGAACAGACTCTTCTGTAAGTTTGAAATTATTTGCTGGGGGAAGAGGCACAAAGACACCTTTTGGCCTATACAGGTCTCTCCTTCTCTCCCCTTAGTCTTACTCATATTATTTTAATATCAGAAGGCAGCAACACACAGTGATTGAGAGATGGGGCATTATGAACCTGGAGATCCTGAGTTTTGAATCCCAGCTCAGTCCAGAGCTGAGTCTGGACCAATCAGTGTTTTTGGGTAAATGCTTAAACCCCCAGGTGAATTGGTTTTAGTTTGGCCAAGGGTGATTCTCCAGAGAATAGGGCAGCTGTGAGCTAGAAATAACCAATACTCCCAGCAACTGGGGAAGAGTGCATAGCCCAGTGGAAGGGATCTGGTATCTTCCTCCACTACAGACACTTACAAGTATGACCTTGAACAAGTTACTTGACACTTTCACACTTTAGTACTTAGTGCCTCAGAGTCCCCTCTTACGAAATAGGGAGTAATGCCAGCACCTATCCCAAGTTACAATAAAATCAGATGATGTGTGCAAAGTAGTTAGGACACATACCGCCCAGCACGCAGTGAGCACTTAATAAATGTCAGCTATTATTTCATCCAAATATCCTCCGTCCTCAGGAGGCCAATATTGGTTTTGAAATTTGGTCTCCAGCATTATCAACTCCAGCTTCATCTACCATTTTATAAAATAATTGCTTACATTTCTCATGGAAGTTTAAGCATGAAATCATTGATGTCAGAGCTGATGCTGTTCAATAACTTCCCTAAGAACAATATAAACATCTCTACTCTAGGAGTGCCTTTATCATCACAACTAAGTGTGGCAAACTCAGTGAGGGGTTGCCCTGCAGTGACTAAAGGGAAATATTCCCACCGGGTCCATGTGGTGTCTCTGCCCTCCTTTAGAATTGCTTTTCTAGTCCCAGAGTTCTGACAAGTCTCTCTGGCCATGTCTAGGCTGTGTGGCGTCAGGATACATGAAACGCTAGGATGAGACAGGTTTATCCCTTCAGGGCTCAAAGATAGGCAGGACCAGGGAATGGTGGAGTCAACATTGGTTAATTCAGAGATAACCTTCCTCTCCTGTGACAGACAGGCTGAAAACTTAAGCAGAGTGGGTGGTTATCCACAGGGATGGAAGGCTCTCAGTTAGGTGTCTGAACTTCCATATTTGATTTTTTAGGACAAGAACTGTCCTCTCCGTGGAATCTTGTTTTGGAGATGCACAAAGTCCTTATAAGTAATTAAGTCTGTACATATGTATATATGATTCTATCATTTATCTATCATCTATCTCTATATATGTCTGTCCAAGTCTCTCAATCATCTATCTATATTTACTTAGTTAACTATAATTTATCTGTATCTATCATCCATCTATCTCTAACTATATGCATCTATATCTACCTACCCACTTATCATCTAACTACATCTATCTATATCTATTATCCATCTATCTTTATTTTCTATCTATCTATCTATCTATCTATCTATCTATCTATCTATCTATCTATCTATCTAATTATCTGTGTATCTATCTAGAAAGATGGAAATGTCTGAGGAGACCCAGGCATTACAGCCCTCAGATGTTTGAGTCTTCTAACCCAGACAAGTCAAGAGAGCTTCCGGGGTGACCCCATCTCCAGCCTGTCTGCAATCACATGACAGGCCCCAAGCAAGATCAGCCCAGCTGAGCCCACTCAACCCTAGATTCATTAGCAAAGTAAAAGACCATTATTGTACACTCTTTTGGGGTAGTTTCCTATGACACAATAGATAATTGGAACATCCCTTCTTCACTTCAGATAGAGTAATATGTATAGGACTCAGAAGAGAGATGAGAACTCAGGGAAATTGGAGAAAGCAATAATCCTTTAAGTTACTGTGAATCAATGGAAGCAGCAGTAGTGTAGTGGATCAGCTCAGAGGCAAGAGTGCCAAAGTCTAAGCAGGGTTGACTCTTGGGGTGACATGGTTGATGACCAAAGGGAAATGGAGTGTACTGACTTTACTGAGTACCTATCATATGCTGGTTCTGCTTGATAGCAAGCCTCTGAGTTCCCAAAATACCTATCAGTAGGGCAACATTGTGGCTGTAGGCTGTGGTAGCCAGCTTTCAAATGCACCCCCAATGTTTCTTTCCTCCTGGCTTTCACACCCTTGTGTATTCTCCCCGACAGTAATTGGGCTGACCTGTGAAGTCACTAAGATATTGTGGACATGATGGAGTATGACTTCTGGGGCTGAGTCGTAGAGGCTTTCACCTTGGCCCTCTTGGATCCCTTACTCTAGGGAAAGCCAGCTGCCATGTTGTGAGGAGACTCAAGTAGCCACATGGCGAGGAACTGAGACCTCTCCCCACAATAAGTCCTGGTCCATGTGTGAGCTACCATTGATGCAGATTATCTAATCCAATCCAGCTTTCAGATGATGGCAGCTCCAGCCAACAGGTTTGCTGCAACCTCATGAGAGACTCTGAGCTG